TAGAATTTTTGTATCTTCTTGATTTAGTTTTGGATTTGTATATATCTAGGAATCTGCCTATTTCTTCTGTGTTTTCCATCTTATTAGAATATAGGTTCTCTATATTAGTAAGTACTGATAATTCTCTGGATTTCTGAAGGATCTGTTATGATTTCACCATTTTCATTCCTAATTGCATGGATTTGAGTCTTTTCCATTTGCTTATGAGTTTGGCTAAGGGTTTATCAGTTTTATTTAGTCTTTCAAAGAATCAACTCTTCATTGATTCTTTGTATCATTTTCTTAGTCTCCATTGCATTAATTTCTGCTCTGCTCTTTATATTTTCTCCTTATATGAGCTTTGGATTTGACTTGCTCTTCTTTTTCTAGATGTTTGAAGTTCAACATTAGGCTGTTTGTCTGATCTCATTCTGTTTTTCCAATATGGAAATTTACCACTATAAATTTCCCTCATAGGACTACCTTCATTGCATCCCGTAAGTTCCAGTGTGTTGTACTGGCACTATCATTTAATTGTATAGACCATCTAATGTCTTCTTTAATTTCATCTGTGACCCATTCGTTGTTCTGAATGGTGTGATTTAATTTCCATCGTTTATGAAGTTCTTCTGGTTTATTTTGCCATAGATTTCCAATTTCATTGTACTATGATCTGATAATATGCATTGAATAATTTCCATTCCTTTGCATTTAATTAAGCATGTTCTATGAGCTATTTATTATATGGTCTATTTTGAAAAATATCCTGTGTAAAGCTGAGAAGAATATGTGCTGTGATGTTGTATGGTGGAAAACTCTGTGGAAATCTACTTAGTCTACTAAATCTACTAAGTTTGGTTCATTTATGATATTTCTTTGATGATTTTTTTGTCTAGTTGATCTATCTATTTGTAACAGTCAGGTATTGAGGCCCCTAGTTACAATGGTATTATTGCTTATTTGATTTTTCATGTCTGTTGATATTTGTTTTATATAGTTGGGTAGTTAGTGCATATATATTTATCAAAGTTATCTCTTTTTCTTATATTATTCCTTCTACAAGGATGAAGTGGCCTTCTTTGTCTCTGTTAATCAGCCTTGGCTTGAAACTCACTATCTTCAAATAGTTACCTCTGGTTTTTCCAGGTTCCTGGTAGATGGAGTATTCTTTTCCATTCTTTGACTTTCAGTCTATGAATTTCTTTTTGAATTAAATGTGTTTCTTGTGTGCAGCATATTGAATCTTGCTTCTTGATCCATTTTGCCAGTCTGTTTCTTTTGCTTGGTGAATTGAGACCATTAACATTGATGGTTATATATTGACTTATATATTGACTTATCTTTGTCATATTATTTTCCTGTAGTTGGTACCTCTTTTTCCCTTCTGTTTAATTGCTTCCTTGCCTTGTAGATTCATTCTGTTGGGGTTCATGGAGTTGTAGTCTGTGTTGTCTTTTTCTAGAATGTCCTTCAGAATATTTTGGAGTGCTTGTTTGATGGTCATGAATTGCTTCAGGTGTTCTTTGTAATGAAAGGCAAAGACATGACACATTCTTTGTCATGTATTATTTCTCCATAAATTTTGAAAGATAGTTTTGCAGGGTACATCAATCTGGATTGGAGATTGATTTTTTTAAGGGCTTGAGGATTTGCATTGAGAAGTCTGCTGCTATTCTGATGTGCTTAACTTTATACATGATTTATTTATTTTCTCTATCAGCTTTAATATGCTATTCTTGTGTTAAATTTCTGGGACCTTGACTATTACATACGTCGGTGTAGATTTTTTTTATCATGGCTAATTGGAGTTCTATATGCCTCACTTATCTGAACCTAAAATTCTTTTTCCATGCTTGGAAAGTTTTGCACTATTACTTCTATGAACATGTTTCTTATGTCATTTGTGATTTTGCCTGCTTTTTTGATGATTCTGATCATTATTATGTTTTTCTTTGTATTTTCTAGCAGCTGTTAGATTGATTTTTCATAGTCCCTTGCTATTTTAAAGAAATATTTCTTTTCATGGTTGCTAACCATATGCCTGTCTTCTGTATCTGACATTCTGGCCTCATATTGGCTCATTCTGCAACATATACTTTCAATAGCATTTTTAATCTCCTGGATATCTGTTTGAATCTTGTTTCATGGATTCTATTTCTTTCCTGTGTTGGGCATTCATGGTTCCCATCATTTTCCTAACCTCCTCTATTTTTAAAAATCTATATCTGATGTAGAGTCCCTAACCATGTCTTTCATTATGGTCACCATCTCGTAGTTATCTGAGAAAATTATTTCTGATTTGATTTTTTAAGAGCCTCATTCATCTGCTTTGTTACTTCCTCTGTTATCACTTCAGAGAGTCTAGGTGAGTAGGTTTCAAATTGTTTCACCTCATTGCCCCTGAATTTGTGGCTGAATTGGTGAGCTGAAAATCTGGGGCTGCATCTTGCTTATTATTTTCTTCTTTTTTTAGTTTAATTCCTAGATTGATGTTTGTAAATTGTTTATGGCAAGTAGCTTTATTGATAGTATTTAGAATCCTTAGGAAATGGTTACTCAAAGAGTATATCTTGCTTTTGAGTTTGAGTCTGTTGTGAGATCCTACCTCTTCAGTTTATTGGGGATGAGAAGTCACTGCTCCCTACTTGGCCTGGCCCCTGGTTCTCTGGCACCAGTTATATTTTTTTATGACCCTTAGGCAATCTCAGTCTTGGCATCCCAGGAAAAACAACTGAATATGGCAATTATGCAACTTTGGGTGAAGTAGTACAATCAGCAATAACAATAGTACCACATACAGCCTAGAAAATGACAAATGTGGTAACTATTAATTTTCCACCTTTAACTGTATGAACTAGACTTGTGGTTATATAACAAAATCTAAAACAAACCAGAAAATTGTATACAGTAAATATTCCCCCAGTATGGAAATTTTACCATGAGGGTAGAAAGTTTAAAAGAGGATAAGGGGGAAAATAGAGAAATACAAGAAGAGGAAGAAAAGAATCAAGGCTGGAAGATAAAGGAAGATCATGCAAACTTTGGGAAACTGGTGCAGAAGACAGGAGAGAAAATGAGAAAGAAGAAATAAAAACAAGAACATAAGAACCACAACAACAAAAACCAGAAACAATGTTTACAATTCTATAAAAACAAGAACAAACAAGAAAAAGGAAAGCAAAACAAAAACAAGAAGAGAGAAAGAAAATAAGAAAAATGTGGGCCAGGTATAGTGGTGCATACCTGTCATCCCAGCACTCAGGAGGCTGAGGCAAGAGGACTGACTGCTGAAAGTTCAAGGCTGGCCTGGGCTACACAGTGAGTCCAAAACCATCCTTCACTACAGAGTGAGATTCTGTTTCAAATCTATATATCTATATCTATCCACTTCGAGGCATGTCCCTGCTGTCAATGATAGACAAAGTGGGCAGACAGAGTCCATATCTGTGTTGATTAATCCCAGCAAATGAGCTATTGACTTATTGTAAGGTAGTGGATAATCCCAGCAAGCCTGCTCCTTTAGTTCCACTGAAGTTCATGTTGATTTCAGGCTGGGAACCTGGAAGCCGACCTGTTCAGCCTGTAACACTTCTTGTGCCTCTTGCTGGCTTGAACTTGGTTCCTTACCTCCTGCCAATTTGAACTCAATTCTGAATATCCTGACCCTAGGAGCCACTAGGGTCATCCTAGCACTTAAGAGCCCACAGCTCATATCTGAGTTCCAAGCTCGGTTGGCCCCCCTCAAAGATGGCTACTGGCCAATCTCCCTGACCTGGAGGACGTCTGAACCAGAATGATACACCAGTCATTCCTTTCCACTGCTCTGCTCCACTGGTGCAATTCTCTTTAGAGGCCTCAGAGGTTATCAGTAGTCGCCATGCGTCTGCAAGTTCAAGCCACTCCTTCTACACAGTGAGTCAGGGCTCGGGGAGAAAGTACCTCTTGCCACCTCCTACTTCTTCATTGAAGTCTCTCTCCTCACTCTCCACTTGGGCTTCAATTCTTTTTTTTTTTTTTTTTTTTTTTTTTTTTTGTCTTTTCCCATTTTATCGGTACCGGGGATCGAACTCATGACTGCCTGCTTGCAAGGCAGGCGCTTATGCCGCTGAGCTAAATCCCCAGCCCCTGGGCTTCAATTCTTGTTTCAGATCTTTGCTGGGTCTCAGGGACCCACTTCCTTCTTGCCTTCCTTCCTTCCTTCTCTTTCTCACATTGCTATAGTCCAGCATCCAGGGGCCAAATCTCTGAGAGGTTCTTTGCTGTTCATTACTACAACATCTTCAAGTGTTTTAACTCTATAATGTAATATAATGAGTAACCAGTGGGAAGATGGTGGGAAGAGTTTATCCATTGTTCCTCTTCAAAAAAAATAGGTGAAATGCTTCAACAAAATTGGTACTGCTATCAGTGTTGCTTATCCTGGAATCTTTGTAGATGCCCACAGTCCAGGTGGCAGAGTTTCATGATGTCCACTCTCAGTAACACCTGGCAGGGGTAAAGGCTTGACTGTAACACACAGAAAGTTTTTCTACTCTCCAGCATTCTCAGAAGTGCCATGATGGTCATGTCCAAATGTCACATTCTGACATCCTTAGAAAATTTTATGTCAGGCATGGTGGTATACACCTATAATCCTAGCACTAGGAAGGCTGAGGTAGGAGGATGCTATGAGTTTGAGGAAAGCCTGGACTACCTAATAAGTTAGGGTTAGCCTGAAATACATAGTGATACCCTGCCTCAAAAAAATACAGGAAAAAAAACTTTATGTAGTGACCAGTCTTTCTTGAGGCCAAGCATTATTCCCTACAAATAGATATAAAAATCAGATCAGCAAATTGTACTGTATAACCTTGACCTGAGAGGTGTAGGTTCTGTCTAATTATTCTCTTCATTTCCCCTCACCCCACTAATTAGACTCACTCATGAGTATGATGGACATTATGACTTCCACAGAAAAATAATTTCTTCAAACCAGAAAAAGAAAAACAGCCATCCAGCCTGTGTGAAGCAGTGATTTATTTTCACTGGAGGAGATAGACTCTGCCATAATTCAAGGTTTCTTGGGAACCCGTACATACATTGATTTCTGTGCTTCAATCTTTGCAGGGATGATAATAGAAGTGTCCACATAGACCCATTTGGATGCTGGATTCTGTGCTTCAGCCCTTGCTGGGATAACAATGGGAGCATTCCCATAGGGCCACCTAGATGCTGGCTTCTCTTCTCTTGTGGGGGTGGTGATGGCAGCATCCCCAAAGGCCCGGTAGCCACCAACCAGGCAATATGTCTCCCCATGCCAGCCCACCTGGGTTTCCCCACATCCTCGGTAGAGGACATGGTAGTAAACAGGTGTAGGAGGAGCTGTGGGCAGCACTGCTGCTAGAAAGAAAACCAGAACTAATCAATCATCCACTTTATACACTGTGTTTCCAGGACCTCCCTCTCCCATATGCCTTCCTGGCTGAAGCTCACTAATGTGCTTTACATCCCAAACATAGACATGACCTTCACTTTCACAGGTCACCTAGGAACCAAAGCTTGCTGTATTATTCCTTGTTGTATTATTTCAAAGTCCCAGGGCAGTGACAATGTGAGGAATTGCTTTTGTGAAACCAATTGCAACAAGGCACCAGAAAATTTGTTCCTCATACTCAGAGAGAGGAGAACATAAAAATAATTAAAATCAGGACATCTTCGTGTCTATCACTATTAGGCTCAATAGGCCTCCTCATACAAGTCAATCATGGGATGCCTTTTCCCCAAACCACCTTGCTCAATAGCATTTATACTTTTATTCTAGGCTGTTCTGACCCAGCCTTATTACACCACCCTTGACCTGATCGTCAGTAGTAGAAAATGGAATGTGTTAGAGGGGGTCCATGAATGTGTTCCATGACACTATTGTGTACAATACTGTAGAGGCCTGAATCTCGAGGTTAGGTTCATGAGGGGCCTTCAATGATCCTGCCTTAAATTTTCCCACATCACTTGACCACAAAATCATGTGTGGTTTCTGCTATGAGTCTAATTGAGGAAGGATGTGATCTGAGGAAACGTATGTGTGTGTGTGTATGTGTGTGCGTGTGTGTGTTGACATCTTACTACATACCCCTGGCTAGTATTGAACTTCTGATAAAAATGATCCTTCTGCTTCAGCTTCCTGAGTAACCTCAGACTCAAGGCATTCCACTACACCCAATTATGAAGCAAGAAACTTGTAACACAAAGGAGAAGGCTAAGTTGATAAAAATTAGGACTTCTGAATTTCATGACATTTGTCTCACAAGTGAGCATCATATATCTCTGCTTGGGAAAGTACTAAGTTGTTGGTCCTACTTATTTCTGGGAAAGTTTGGAGGTGTAGTAGGGAAGCACAAAAAGAACATGTGATGGCCTATAGCATATGAGAGGGGGAGGTTGTGGCGTCATGATAAATAAAATAGAAATGGCAACAAGAGATTGTTGATTCCCCACAGATTCTCACAGAGATACCTGGTCCAGACTTACCAGCTGGATTGCACTCCCAGGAGACAGATGACAAGTTACTCTGAATGTAGGAGATCAGGCCAGACATCCTCCTCCAGGCAACCAAAACAGACTTGTACTACTAGAGAACTGGTAGGAAGTTTTCTCACACTTGAGTAGGTTTTCTGCCATGGAAACAAGGGGATCTGTGATGTCATCAGTACCCAGTGACATCACAATTAGACTGTGAATTGAAGGGCAGATTTCAGGCCTCACTGTTTGGTGGACATGAACAAGGAGAAGGCAGAGGAACCCTGCTTGGGCTTTCCTAATTGGCCTTCCTGTTCACATTTTCATCAAGTAGCTACTCCCTGTGAAGCACGCACCAGTGAACACAGGAGCAAACAAGAATCCCAAACTGAGATTACTTGTAATATAGGAGGTAGTGGGTAGCAAAGTTGGATGGCACAGTGGGTGGGACCTGTCAATTTCAAGGTCCCAGGGCAGTGACAGATGATCTCCAGGACCCTATCTGTAGAACTTCTTGAGAGCTCACATAAGATTTAGACAGCATAAAGAAGACCAGACGCTACAAGAGCTTGCTATCATGACTCCTCGTGGTAGCCTATCCTGTGTCTCCTAGCTGTAGGATGAACTTTTTCTCCTTTTTCTCTGCTTAGCCCAAGTTTGCTCTGCAGATCTAGTTTTTCCCTTACTTCACCCCTTAGTTTCTTGTACTTTTTTTCACATATCTTTTATTTCACTAATGACTATGTTCTCAAGGTGCATCCATTTACCTATAAAGGTGTCCATTTCATCATTATTTATGGCTGAATAGTACTCTATTGTATAAAAATATCACATCTTTTTTATCCACCCCTCAGCTGATGAACATTTATGTTGTTTCTAAGATCTGGCTATTATAAACTGTGCTGCTATAAATATGTGTGCACATATATCATTGTGGTATGATGTTTTTAATTCTTTTGGGAAGATACCCAGAAGGGGAATAGCTGGGTTGAATGGGACCTCCAATCCTATCTTTTTGAGTCTCCACGTTGATTTCACAGTGGTTGCAACAGTCTGCATTCCCACCAACAGTGGGGAAGGGTTCCTTTTTTCCCACAGCCTCTCCAGCATTTGTTATTGCTGGATTTCTTGATACTAGCCATTCTTTTTGGGGTGAGGTAGAATCTGTGCTGTTTTAATGTGCATCTCTCAAATGACCAGTGATGTTGAACATTTTTTCACATGTATTTGATGCTTGTATTTCTTCATCTGAGAAGTGTGTATTCATTTCAGATGCTCATTTTGGGACTGGGTCTTTAAGTCTGGGAGGACTGATTTTTTTTTTTTAGTTCTTTATATGTTCTCAAAGTAAGCCTTTGTCTGAGGAGCAGTTAGCAAACATTTTTCTCCCACGTTGTGGGTTGTCTCTTCACTCTGTTGGTGGCTTCTCTTGCTGTGCAAAAGCTTTTCAGTAGGATGAGATCCCATTTGTTGATTCTTTGTGATAGTTCCTGTACAATCTGAGTTTGCTCATAAAGTCTACACCAATGTCTTCAAGAGTTTTACCTACTCTATCTTCTTGCAGATTTATTGCTTCTGTTTTAATATTAAGATCTTTGATCCATTTTGATTTTAGCTTAGTACATGGTAAAAGATATGGGTCCTGTTTTAATCTCTGGCTTGTGTAGAGCCAGTTTTTCCAGCACCATTTATTAAAAAGGCTAACTTTCTTCCAGTGAATGTGTTTGACACCTTTGTCAAAGATATGATGGCTTAGTGTGTCTGCAGTTGTTTCTGCATCTTCTATTTCATTAATCTTTGGGTCTGTTTTTTTTTTTTTTTTTTTTTTGCCAATACCACACTTTTTTTTTATCACAGTAGCTTTATAGTATAATTTCAAGTCAGGGATTATGATGCCCCAGTCTTGTCTTTGTTGCCCAGGATTGCCTTTGCTATTCTAGGTCTTTTTTGATTCCAGATGAATTTTAGGATTGTTTTCTCTAATTCTGTGAGATATGCTATTGGAATTTTGATTGTTCACCCCTATTTTTCAAATATGCTTTTGGCACCATTTTTGGCTTGGTTTGTCCAATTCTTTGTTCAAGACAAGAAAGACCTGGAATGCTTTTGTTTGGTAAGTCATTTTTAAAGGAACTATCTGATGACAATAGGGCTGGAGATAGGGCTCAATAAAAGAGAGTTTCACACAGATGACATCCTGGGCTCAATCACAGTACTGGAATTAAAAATCAAGCAAAAAGCATTTTAACTATATGAACACAATATCTGACATTTAAGGTTGCAGAGGCAAATGCCAATTCTGAGGAGTGCTATCTTCTAGTGCTCCAAAATGTTTGGAAAGGTATCTCTATGAAAAGATATCTCATGGCATTCATAGGAAGCTGTTTATCAATTATGTTTCCCACTCACTCTGCAAAGTGACATTTACAGAGCAGGGAAGGTGGGCTTTGAGGCATGAGCTTCTTGATTATTGAAGCTTTCCACGACTAGCAGATGTAAGCTTATCTACCTCATCCTTTGCTGGGGTGGCATGGTGAAGCAGAAATCCTCACCTAACTGCAGTCATTTTTAAAAATAAAGCTACAGTCATTCTGTTCTCTGCCATGATCTCAGCTAACTCACATAATTTATCATTAAATTGAAACTTCTACAAATGTGCTAAAAAATTTTCTATGTGCAACCATGCTCACAAGACACCATAACGTTCAGCAAAAGCTTATCTTGTTCTTGTAACTTCTGTTTGCCACCTTATAAATAAGCTCTGTACTCAACATCTCAGACTTTGGAGATTACTCTTCTGGGGCCCACTAAGGTTAATAAAATTTTCTTTCTTCTTTCATGCTTTGGGGATACTGTTGATTCAATTTTTCCTGCAACAGTGAAAGACTCCCCATTAACCCATCTGGATGGTGATTTGTCTGCTTCAACTATTGCTGAAGGTATCCTATTAGCCCACCTAGGTGCTGGTTTCTCTGCTTCAGCCTTTGCCAGGGTGGCACTGGGAATATCCCATGGGCCTGACAGCCACCAATCAAGTAGTAGGTCCTCATGGCAACCCACTTGGGTTTTTCCACATCCTTGGTGAGAAGACATGGTAGTAACATAGTAGTACAGGAGAAATTGTGGGTAGCACTGATACTTGTAAGAAAGCCAGAACTGATTTTGCCATTTCTATTTTATGTATCATGATGCCACAACCTCCCCCTCTCATATGCTTTCCTGGCTAAAGTCCCCCTATCTACTTGGTATCCTAACCACAGCCTTGCCCTATCACTTCTATAGGTTCTGTAGGAAGGGATGCTTGTTGTAAAAGCCTAGGGCTTCTGTGGAACTAGCAGTAGCAGACCAGATCTGCACGCATTTGCACAGAGTCCCCTATTCTCACAGAGAGTTGCGAGAACACTAATGTAATTGCAATGGATCCAAGTCTCTGAGGATAAATTAGTCTCAGCCTTCTTAAACCAGTCCCAACTTCCTGGAATGCTTTTTCCTCAGATCTCCAATCTTAATAGCACTGACAGCTTTTTGTCCAGCTGTATGACACTATCTTTTCTTCAATACTCAGCACCTCAGAATGAGATGTCCATGAGAGGGTCCATGTGTGTGTCTCCATAATAGCATAATAAAGATGCCCATTCTCAAGGGCATCAAGGTGAGGTTCATACACAGGCCTTCAGCAGCTCTTCCTCAAACTGCTCCATTTCGGATGCAACTTGAGACCATACCCACTGAAATAAATAAGACACACATGTGTAAATATCATACTATCTCAGTATGAGAAGCTGAAACAATGTGTGTATGTGTATGAATATATTTTTTAAAAGCTCCATTTATTCCTTTAATGACAAAAGCACACTGGTTTTGCCCATATAGTTAAGGGTCTACAGGAAGTATCATTTTAAAAAAATGGCTACCATTATATTGGCCAGGCTTGTCTTAAATGACTGATCCTCCTGCCTCGGCCCCCAGAGTAATAGAGACTACAGCTGTATTCCACAGCACCCTGCTATGAAGGAAGCCCATTGGAGCTAAAGGGAAAGCTGCATTGATAAAGGTTAGGGCTTTTTAAAAACACTTGCCCAGAAAAAACATGTTATGTCCCTTTATCATTAACAAATTAACTGTTAGTGACTGGGAAAGCATGGTGGGCATGCAAAAGGAAATGTGCGCCTACAATCTCCAGCAGTTGGGTGGCAGGTGTATAGCTGTGAGTTTAAGGCCAGTGTGAAGTACACAGGGAAACCCTGTCTCAAAAAGAGACACACAGACACACAAAGTGATGAGGTTGTGTGTATACTGAGACCCCTTGTGCATATTTCTAGCCCAAGTTTACCTGCTGCAGTGGCTACCCAGAGCACAGATGAAAAGTCAGCATGAACATACATCATCCAGACATTCTCTTCCAGGCAGTCTAGACTGATGTCTGGTGGAGAACTGCACATTTGAATACTTTCCCTGCCATGGAAACCAGGCCTGTGATGTCATCACCATCCAGAGGTCACATTTGGAATCTGTGAGTTGGAGCCTCTGAGGGTCAACTTCAGGCCTCGTTTAGTGGAAGAGAGCAGGGAGAATGCAAGGAAGCCTTCCTTACCCATATCCTCATCAATTAGCCACCTCCTGTGGAGCACACCTGTAGGTGGGCACATCAGCAGTGAGCATAACGGGGCAAATGAATCCCAAACTCTGAGATTGGACAAAGCCAAGATTAAGCCATAGTTTGTGCAACTCTTGATCCTATGTATACCAAAGTTAGAGAGTACAGAGCTGGATAGATTAGGCTCAGAGGATGACTCCTTGGAGGTGGGCCTGAAGACTAAATGAGATTTAAACATGTACAGAGGAAAGATATTTCAACTGGGAAGAAATAAAAACATTTTCTTGGCTTTGTTCTGCCCATATGTACATCCACAGAATTGTTTTCCAGGTATGGTGGTACATGGCCATAGTTCCAGCACTTAGAGGAGGCCGAGGTAGGAAGGTCACCATGAGTTCTAAGGCCAGCCTGAGCTTCATATGGTAGTGAGTTCAAGACCAGCCTGAACTGCACAGTGAGACCTTGTCTCAAAAGCAAATTAAAGGGGTTGGGGATTTATCTCAGCGGCATAAGCACCTGCCTTGCAAGCAGGTGGTCGTGAGTTCAATCCCCGGTACCAATAAAAAAGAAAAAAAAAAAAAAAAGCAAATTAAAGAACTGATGTTTCAAAAAGAACAGATAAAGGGGCCTATTTAAGGTCACAAGGTAGTAGTTGTGCTCAACAGTAGGGCTTCATGTTGTTATTTTTTTTTTTTTCCTTTTTGAGACAAGGTTTCACTACACAGTTCAGACAGGCCTTAAACTAACTTTGTAACCCAAGCTGACCTCAAACTTGTGGCGCTGAGATACACTGCTTATTTGGGGGCTCCATATTTGTAGATGACAATAATGGGAAGATAAGCTCAGACTCTGGGAATGATGTTCAATATGTCCAAGGCAAAATGAGGGTCTCCAATGATTTTACAAATAGGAATGATAGAATTATTTTAACATGAAATTCAAAACACATCCATGACAAAATGACAACTTAATCATTTCACTCTCCAGTTACAAAAAGGCAAACAATTAGGCTGGGGATATAGATCAGTGGTAGAGTCTGCCTCACATGTCTGAGGCCCTGGGTTCAATCTTAGCATCACAAATCAACCAAAACAGATACCACCCCCTCTGAAAAATTAACAACAGAAAAACAAAACAAAACATGACTAAAGAAAATCTGACCTATAAAGTGATGGTTTGGAGGGCTGCTTAGTGGCATAAGTGCCTGCCTGGCAAGTATGAGGTCTTGAGTTCGACCCCTGATACCAAAAAAGTGATAGTTTGGAGTGGGGATCTTCTGAATTCTGCCCAAATGGTTTTAAAAAGGGAACCCATACAAAGATCATTTATTTTTAGAAATCACATGATACAAAATTAAAAATCCAGAATCCACTTTAGTTTTCTTGTGTCATATGAAAGACAACCTCATGGAACAGTTTATCTTTCAAAGCTACAAGAAGCTTACCACGTCCTCAGACAGGCAAACAACAAACCCAACACTTTGTTCTAACAAATGTGTTTACCCAACCAGAACAGGGAGGCCTGCTCCAGCATCACATTTAACCCAGCCCAAATCAGGCTTGCTGAGGCAAAGGCTCTCTCACTGAGGATACCAGTCCTGGTAGGCTTCTCCTTCGACGAGCAGCAAGCTCAATCTTCTGAACTAGGCTCACGTCCCAGGGATGGGTCACAAAGCTCATGACGGTGCCTGGCACATCACTTCCCACACGGCCCACCCTCCCTGCTCTGTGGATATAATCCTGCAGTGTGAGGGGAAAATCATAATTGACAACCAGCTCCACATGGGTGCTGTCCAGGCCCCGAGAAGCTATGTCTGTGCAGAGAAGTATGTCTTGGGAGCCCTTCTGAAAACGCTGAAAGATACCTGCCCTCATTGAAGCTGGCATTTCCCCCTGTAGCCTTAAGTGTTGAATTTTATGGTCATCTAAAATATATCCCAGCCAATTGACAGTGCTGGAGCTGTTACAAAACACTAGGATAGTTCCAGAGGGTCCAGACTTGTCTTTGTTATGCTGCTTGAGGATATGTACCAACTCTGTCACTTTGTCTGCGCCTTTCAGCCTCATAAATGTCTGTCTGACATGAGGCATGATACAGTGAAGCTTAGTGCTGGTGATGGTGGTTACAGAGTCTGGGTTGGTGACTTTATGCAGCAACGGTCCTACACCTTCAGGAAAGGTGGCTCCCACCAGCACTAACTGAGCTTTGGGACTGAAAAAGTCATCTAAGTCAGCTGGGCCTTCAGCTATATGGCTCTTTCCCAAGATGTAGTCCACTAGTTCTAGAAAGCTTTCATCCAACAGTGTGTCTGCCTCATCCAACACCATGAAGGAGAGCTGTTCCAGCCTGACCAGTTGACCTTTCAAGGCCTTCCACAGAGCTCCTGGAGTGGCGATTAACACATCTGCTGACGGCTGTTTCAACAGCTGCATCCTGATCTTCCGCATACCATGGCCTCCCCCTAGCTCCCGCACCTGCAGGCCCAAATTGTTACCCAACGGCTGGGCCACAGCCTGTACCTGCTCGGCTAATTCTCGCGAAGGTACAAGGACCAGTCCTCGGGGTGTGGGGATACTGTGTGAGTCCAGGAATGGATGGCGCATGAGCCGTTGGAGCAGTGGTAATAGATAGCCGAGAGTCTTGCCACTGCCTGTTTCCGCCGCGCAAAGGACATGGCGGCCGCGAAGCAGTGGGGGGATTGTGCTTGACTGTACAGTTGTGGGCCAAACTATTTCGGGTATAGCCTCGTGTAGTGCATGCAGCAGACGGGGATCCAGACCTAGGTCTTCAAAGCTGCACCCAGACGAGAAGTTCCGCAAAGCTGGCGGCTCGTGTTGCGCAGGTTCGATGGAGAAATGATCCCGACGCGAGCATCGGTGCCTCCAGCCACGTGAGGCGAGCGGCGCACATTCCCAACGGCCCAGCGTGAGGCGTGCGGGTTGGTTCAACTCTGGCCTCCGCGCCGAGATTAGCAGTGGTCCAGGTCTCACAAGCACTGGTCGCGGGGGCCTCCGACACCTGCTCTGTAGCTGTTCATGCCGCCGCTGTAGGGCTCGCGGAATGCGCACTACTGGCAGGGGTTCGTCGGGATTGCCCAATGCCAGCTTCCGTCTAGGCACCAGAAGTAACCGGGAGGCGAAAAGCCGAAACTTCAACACAAGAGCCATGTTACTAATGCTGGAGAGTCGCGCTCCAGTGACGTCACATATGCGCCACAGCTGCTTGTACGGAAGCTGGAGCGGCTCAGTGCGGCGTGTGGAGCGGCAGAATCGTCGAGGAGGAGAGAAAATCTATACAACTAAGAGGCCGCGAGGTCTGTAGGTTTAGATAGGTGACGGCGACATCAAGACCCAGGCCAATCTTGAAGATAGGGGTGCGGTGGAGGCAGGAACGGGGCTTGGCAATACGAGGCGACAGTAGGCCCTGGCCCAGTGGATCAGGTAGGTGTGCGACTGGCTGCTTACGACTGGGTTCCTAGTCCCTACGATTCTCCTTTGTCGTTGTTTGCCTCTACAATAGTCTGTTTAGTGTCAGTCTCCCCCTGTGAACTCTGAGGTTGCGGGTGCAGCGATGTTTTCCCAAGGACTGGTAATACATATTTACTGAGAGTCTAAATGAATGATAGAAGCTAAGGATTGAAACAAGGGGCTAATCTTGTAAATCTGGGCTCAGTACCAGTGCAAGGTGCTAGCTTTAGTTTACTCCCTGGCTGAACTAGGAAGTAAGATTCTTAGGCTTTCTTTTAAGCGATGTCATCGCTTCTTTACTCTTTTCCCCCCTACGCTAGTTTCGCTCTCTGCTTCTCATCAGAATCCACCATTCTTGCAGCCCGCTTGTCTTCAGTGGTTTTCAGATACCAAAATTGCTGAAGAGTAGTAAGGCATCACAGTGCTCAGTAAGGGTTCTGTTACATTTATGAAATGATAGGATATGTGGCTTATTTCACATGGCCCTTATGAAGCACAATATTTTATTTGAATTCAGATGTTTCAAATTATAGAAAACAAGCAGAAAGAACTACACAATTCATACTTTTTGAACAGATCTGAAAAACAAATGTCAGATCTTTTCTGTAGTCTGAGTGCCTGGGGTGGAAGATAAGGTAAATGTTTTGGACTGATTACATGGAAGGCTTTTAACATCTGGAGAAAGTGCTTTATTTTCATCTAATACAGTTGACTCTCCCTGTCCACATCTGGGCATCTATGGTTTCACTCAATAGTGGATTGAAAATATTTAGCTGAGGGTATAGTTCCGTAGTTGAGTACTTGATTAGCATGTGCAAGGACCTGAATTTGAACCCCAGCACTACAAAGGAAAAAAAAATGTGAGTTCTGAATATGTACACTTTTTTTCTTGTTCTAATTCCCTAACAATACAGTATAAGAACTATTTATATAACATTTACATTGAATTAGGTATTGTAAGTCATTTAGATTTGATTCAAAATATGGCATATGGGTGAATATATGGAGGTTGCGTGCTGTTTTATACTAAGAGACTTGAATAGCCTCTGATTTTAGTATCTGCGGGGTTCCTGGAACCAATCCTCAGTTACATACAGATGACTGTACCATTAAAAAGATTAAAACTTTTACAATTCCAAATACCATTGTGACACACAAATAGAATTTGTTTTTGGAGAGTTACCAGTTAAACCAGAAGAGGAGAGAGTTTTGTGTAGTGATGAGCGAATAGAGAGTCATAGAGTAGTGGTTCTAAAGTGAGGATTTTCTTCTCCCTTCCACATTTCAAAATGACTGGAGACATTTTTAAGTTGTCTCATCTGGGGAAAAACTACTGATATCTAGTTTGTGGAGACCAGGGATGCTACTCAACATTATACAATGCTCAGGACAGCCTTTGAACAACAAAGGATAATCTGGCTTCAAACACCAGTACAGACATTCCTTGTTAAAGACCTGCCTGTTTAATAACTGGATTTATAACTGAGGTACACTGTTCAGACTTATAACCACTAGTTGGTCTTATAACCTTTTCTTTGTTTTGTTTTTTGGTACTGTTCTTTACATCTTGTTGATAGAGTCTCAATGTCTTTTTTTTTTTTTTTTTTTGGTATAGAACACCTTTTTTTTTTTTTTTTTTAGTGCCCTGGATTGAACTCATGACTTTGGGCTTGCCAGGCAGGCACTTAAGCCACTGAGCTAAATCCCCAGCCCCAATAGTACACGTTTTTATACCATAACTGTAATTTTTGCTAGTTATACTCTATAATAGTATAGTTTTGTGTTCTGTTTTACATTACAGTTCTTCATGTAAGAGGTAAATAAAAACAGTCATCAAGCTAGAGTTTCCTCTGACCATTTCTTGGCCCTGAATCTTGTTTTGTGTTTGTGTAGTTTTTTGTTTTTGTTTTTTCCCTTTTTGAGACAGGGTTTCACTATGTAGTTTAGGCTGTCCTTTGTAGCTACTCACTTTGTAGCTCAGGTTGGCCTTGAGCTCACAGTGGTCCTCCTGTCTCAGCATCCCAGGTTCTGGGATTATAGGTGTGCACCACCATCCCGATGGTTAAATTTTGTAATTTATGTACTATGTACATTTACATACTATGTAATTTACATACTATGTAGCGACCAATTCATTTAATGACTGATTGCTGGACCTAAACTTGGTCACTAAACAAGGAGTGTCTTAGTGCATTGTTGAGAAACCTGAATAGAAGATGAAGGTGGAAGAGAGGCTGAGGTTCCTGCATGTGCTGTCTTTTTTTTACACAGGCATGTTTTCTAAACTCTTGCATTGGCCCTGCCTGGTACTTAGAATCTGTGACCATTGCTCGTCATATCCTTGGGATTAAGCACTGTGAGATTCCCTAGAAGGAGTGAATCAAGAAGGTAAAGCTGGAGAAGATATGTTTAGAAAGAGCAGATATCATGTGTTTGGGGAATATGCCAAGTGAACAACAGATGAGGTGGACTGTGGGTTATGCCATTCCAGAAGGCAGAGCAAGAGCCCATAAGTTACAGTGATGCAGATTCTGAAATTAATATAAAGAATTACTACAGCAATTAAAATCACCCAGATATGTCTTGAGAGTGTTGAATTTTCTGTCATTGAAAAGTTCAGTAAAGGCTGAATGACCACTAGTCAGTAATATGATAGAGGGTTGTTGATGTAAAAGGGTACCAAGCCAAGTATGGTAGGTTAACCTGTAACCTTAGCACTTGGGAGGCTGAGGCAGGAGAATTATGAGTTCATGGCCATCCTGACCTACATAGCAAGACCTTGTCTCAAAAACAACGAAAAAAGGTTACTCTAAGATAGTATGATTCTATGCTACTTTTATTATTAAGTTCATTCCAAGAACTTAGTGTTCCTTATTCCTTTTTTAAATAGTTCCTTAAATACCTGACCTTATAGTTTTCATCCATCTAAATGTATCATTATTTTTCAGATATATAAAGCAAAAATTGCTTTGCACTGATCTAGAACAGATACACTGAAGGGCTAATCAGAAAAGAATAATAATACATAGGTATGCATGTACGTTTGGGTTTTGTTCAAATATTTGGAGCAAGGTTTAACATACAGCTGCTTTCTTATTATGCTCCAGGACTTATGAATCTCATAGAAATTGGAGCTCATTTGAACCTGCCTGTACCCATTACCCCTCATTTGTTATCATATCATCAGACATTGCCTATGGTCTTTCTCCCTGTTTATGACACATGTTGAGTAACCTCTAATTGTCGTTGAGACGCATGGTTTATCATTGGCACTTTAGAAGCTGGAAAAGTTTACCTATTGCAAAAAGAAAAAAAAAGAAAGAGAGCTCCTGGAAGCTTGGTATGTTTTTTGATTTCAGGTAATAATGATACAGTTGCCCATCCATTCATTCATTCAACAAATGTTTTCTAACTGAGCATGGTGGCACATACCTGTAATCCCTAGTACTAGGGAGGCTGAGGCAGAAGGATCGCCACAAGTTCAAGGGCAGCCTGGGTTCCATAATGAATTTAAGGCCAACCTGGACTACGTTGCAAGAGCCTGTGCCCAAAAAGAAAAACAGTTTTTTGTTCTGAGTACCATACATTGTTAGACATGATTAAAATAGCAAAGAAAACTGGTAGAATCCCTGTTCTTGTGTATTGGTTTAGGGAAAGGCCCAGAAATGCCAACACTTTCCCTTCCCCTGATGCCACTGTCCCAGGATTGAACCCAAGTCTAGGCAAGTGTTCTACCATTGAGCTACACCCCTGTCTCTGGGAATTGGTATTTTTTTGAAACTTCTCTACTTCAGTGCAATGTGTAGTTAGGCTTAAGAATCATAGTTATAAATTAAGCACTTTGAGTATTAAAGGCATTACAAAAATTAAAAGTGATAGCCTGGCATAGTGATGCACTGCTGTAATCCCAGCACTTGGGAGGCTGAGGCAAAAGGATTGCTGTGAGTTTGAGGCCAACCAGGGCAACATAGAGAGTTCAAGACCAGCCTGAACCACAAACAGTCTGTCTCAAAAAACAAAAACAAACAAAAAACAACTGAAGAGGGAAGTCACTTTGTCATTGTGCTGTTATAAGGACAGGTAAGTATCTAGTAAATTGAGCAACATTGAGTCAGAGAAGTTTTGGCAGAGATAAAAGCTGGGCTGGAGTAGGCTGAGGAGTGAAAAGCAAGTGGGGGTACTATTTGTAACCAAGCAGAGTGTACTTGGGTAGCTTTGTGACCTTTTAGAGGAGACATTTAGTTAGAATAAATAAATTAAAGTTTTGGTTTTCTTTTTTGTTGCTATTGGCTGTCCAGAGTATACCTAGGATGTGACCACTTTTTACCACCTTTATTACAGCTCCCTGGTCTAAGTCATTGTCGCCTCTCACTGCCTTCTAACTGGTCTCCCTGCATCTACCCTTGTTACCCATAATCTGAAGTTAATACAACAGTCAGTCTATTGTGTGAAACCTGAGTCTGCTCTTGCTTCCCCTCTGCTTACAACACTTTTCTGGCTCATGCAGAAGCACCAAAGTGTTTTGAGTGTTCTCTAAGTCCCTGTGTTACATGACCACTCTCTCATCTTTCTACTGCTGTTACATTGGATATCTATTGCTCTGTCTTCTATTACTCTCTCTTCTCCTTTCTGTGGTGTAGCTTCCTTGCATATCAGCTTCTTTGCTGTTCCTCCGGTACTCCAAATAAACTCCTACCTTAGGGCCTTTGCACTGGCTATTGCTTCTGCTATGCATTCTTTCACTAATGCTCCTTTGTAATTCAAATCTTTGCTTAAGTTGTCTTCTGGGGCTGAGGGTACAGTCCTGTGGTAGAGCATGTGTTTAGAATGCATGAAGTTCTGGGTGTCTCTGTCTGTCTGTCTGTCTGTCTCTCAGACACACATACACACCAAACTTATCATTGAACCTGCCTTACTTCTCTACTTAAGATTGCAACCCAGCTAGGCAAAGTTTTCCAAACATACTATATAATTACTTATTTTTATCTTTTTGTCTGTGTTCCTTCACTAGATTGAAAGCTCTGCTGAGCAGGATTCTTTTTTTTTTCTATTTTGTTCTATAATGTATCCCTAGTAGCAGGCACATAGAGGCCTTTAGTGGATATGGCTACACAAATGACTGACCATGTGCACTTTTTATGATCAGAATAAAGAAAAGCAAATGAGCACTGAGTGGAAGGAAGAATGCCTGCCTCCCATGGACGACAAAAAGGACTTTCTCCTCTTAAATGTCTGACCCAAGTTTTCTCTTTCTTCAGACATAGCAGAGGAGGAATGATCCTGAATAACCTTTCTCTGTGCTACCAGAACAAGCTCATCTTAGCCCCTATGGTTCGGGTTGGGACTCTCCCAATGCGGCTGCTGGCCCTGGATTATGGAGCAGACATTGTTTACTGTGAGGTAAGGACCGCTGCTTTTCTGGGAGAGCTCTCCCACAACTGCAGCCTCCCTGATGGGTGCAGGGGTGGTCAGGAGATGGGAAGCTAAGGGGATGAATATGCATGACACTGAGTTCTTTAGGATCTGCTGAGGACCAGCAGCCAGGGGTATGCAGATGTGTTCTGGCTCATGCTGGACCAGGTGGGTAGATGAGCATCCTGTTGACCATTACCCTCTCCCCTAGAAATGTACATCTGTGCATAAACTCAGAGCTTAGAAAGAAGAGGAAAAGGACCAGATTCAATCTTCACTTCTTTAAGTTAGATGAGGTTGATTTTGGTAACCATAAGATTTTTTGATGGTGGAAACTAGTAGGTGTACTCACCCATTGCTCTGGAGAGTATTAGGTCTTTATTCCCAAGTTTGGAAAGATCTGTAAGAAAAAACAGAATTATAGGAATCCCTGATACTGGATAGTGAAGGAGTGTGAGCAGTAGCTTTCATTTGAGCTTGCAGCAGAATTAGCTGGGGAGCTTCCCTCAAACCCCAATTTTAATATGTTTCCCTAGTGAGTATGAGAAGTTGAAAAACCTACCATGCGGCTTTTAATATTGCCATCTTTTTTTCCCTTTCCCCCCCTTTTTTTATAGTATAGGGAAATCAAACCCAGGCTCTTGAGCATTCAGGCAAACGCTCTACCATTGAGGAGTACCCCACCAACCCTGGTATTTTCATCTTAAAAGCCACTAGGGCTGAAGCAGAAGCAAGGGGATCACTGTGAGTTTGAGGCCAGCCTGGGCTACATAGTGTAAGACCCTATCTCACACAAAACCAAAAAAGCCACTAAGGGTGGTAGTGGAACAGAGAGGTGACTGTGCCTGTAAAAGGGCAACTTGAGAACTCCTTGTGATGGAACTGTTCTGTGCCTTAGGTATATCAGTGTCACGATACTGGTTGAGATAATGTGTTACAGTGTTATAAGATGCTGCCTATTATTTCCATGGAGGCTGGGAAGTTTGTCTGGCAGCTGGCTGTCCAAAGTGATGCTAGTTTCCGCCTTATGGGAAGAAGAGCCAGGAAGCCTGGCAGGTGATATGTCCCTGGCTGGAGATTGGCTTGCTAGTGCCCACAACAGGGTGGGGTGGAGCTTTCTAGGGTGGCAGCAAAGTAAGTGAAGGTAGGGAGGGAATGTGTGGTCTCCAAAGGTTTAAGAAGCAGAAAAAGAGATTGACTTAATTTCTCTTTCCTCCTCCTTTTCTTCCCCTTCCCTCCCCTCTCCTCCTCCCTCTGCTCTGCTCCTTTCCTTTCCTTCCTTTCTTTTTTTTTTTCTTTATGTGTTTTTGGGAATTTACCTCCCCAGCACAGAAAAGCAGGTTTGTGAGTTCAAAGTTACAGAGATCCAAGTCCTAATTCTTAAGTAGTTTATAAAGAAAATTAAGAGCTGTTGGGTCGGACACTTAGAACATCACATGGCTGGGAGGAACCTGTTGTCTGGAGCAAGAACACAAGAGCATTATTCATCCTATCCAGCCTCTAGGTGTTCTTCTGAGGGTTAGGTATAGTTTCTCCCAACTAGCACGGTTCTTGATCTGCAGATTTTGAATTTGGAAAGGGAATGGGAGGAAGAATTGAGAAATCCTTGGCTTATAGCCTGTGGACTAGAGGTGAAAATGATCAAATCCTAGAGAATTTAGACAGTTGCTACCTTACTTGGCCTATGGTTACACTCCCCCAATAGTAACAGCGAACTACACACTAATTCCTCATCCACTTAGTTCCTGTTTACCAATAGGGTCCTGCAGGATGACTCAGACTTCAAGTGAAGCTCCCAGCTTCTTCCCTGCTGTCCAGTTTCATCTCTGTCCAGCTGCACTCTCCATGGTCACAAGGCTCAGGGTAAATGGTGTCCCTGCCCTCTCTATTTGTGCTTTGTATACTGTGTTCCCTGAATGCTTACCCTGATGTTCCTTTTGCCCTAATCCTTTGCCTTTACTAAAGTGAGACTCAGTCCATTGAGTGCTGATGGTTCATTTTTGCCCATGCCATGGCCGTCCTGCTGGTTCCACCTGTTAGATCAGGTGGTGGTAAAAGGTTTAGAACTTTAGAACTTGAGAACTTTAGAACTGTCAGCAAACCTTTTCAGAGTCAGGGTTCTAGGGTTTGCTAAAAGTGAGGTGTAGGTGGTCATGCCTACATTATCATTTACCTCCTTGGCCTTTGCTTTTCCTGAGACCTCAGAAAGTGGTTTTTGTTTTTGTTCTTTCCTAGAAAGATGTGTAGTGCAACACTGCGATAGAAGAGAACAATGTTTCTCACAGTACAGAGCCTGCTCTAGACAGTCATGCTTTTGTGACAGCCATTGACATCAGGGCTGCGGTGAGAGCAGAGCTGCCACAGGATGCAGAACTGTGCTGTGAGGCTTCGGCCTCCCATCAGCTTATTCCTTGAGCATTCTGAGGGTTGTATTCAAGCCCTTTAAAAGTTGAAGGCCCAGGATTTATGTGGTGACTTCAATATGTGGCCCTTCTAATTGGCCAAAGCTTGGTTTTCCTACTAAAAGTGACCAGTCTTTTATTCCAGTAAAGCTTATTCCTCAAGTTTGGAACATAGGAAATACTGAACACTTTAGAATTGTTTGAGATGCTCCATTTAGAGAGTTCAGATGGCTTAGGAACAAATATAGGAGTCAGTGTGGGAATCCCTTCTAGGCAGTCCTAGCCCCTGGGAGAGCAAGCAGTGTGGGCAGGAGGATAGAAGCCTGTTTGCCTTGCCTAGGTGACGGGACCACCTGAGAACTGGGTATGATATAGTGTAGTGTGGTGCCTGGTGCCCCCTGGTGGATCCAGAATTGCTCTGCAGACCAGTGTATTCTGATACCTGCTGCCTGAGTGTTCTTTCTGGTGAGTTCAGAGGTGGCATATCTCAGAGTTTTAAGTAGTCAGACCAGCCTACCTACCTGTATGGAACCTAGGGGTACACTAGGCATGCAGGCACTTCCTTAGTCCCACAATATCTGGAGGATATGCCTCTCAGCGGAAGTCAAAGGAGCGGTAATTCTTTGTCACTAGGGTTTGCTCTGTAAGTTGTCTACGTGTGCCCTAGAAATCATTTCTTTTCCTTTTTATAACAGCAGAACTTCAGTGGCCCCAACTGTGAGGGGATGTCTTCCTGTTAGACTTAAACCTTTTAATAAATAGGATCAAAGGAGAAGGTGGTATGTTCCAAAAAGGCCCAGAGCACCATAATAAGTGATTTTTTAAAAAAGTCTTTTTCCACCCAGGTGTGATGGTGTATCCCTATAATCTCAGCACTCAGAAGGCTGAGGCAAGAGAGTCACTATGAGTTTGAGGCCAACCTGGGCTACTTAAGTGAGTTCAAGGCCAGCCTGTACTACATAGTAAGACCTTGTCTCCAAAAAAAAAAAAGTATTTTTCTGGGCTGAAGGCTTAGGTCAGTGGCAAACTGCTTATTTAGCATATGCAAGGTGCACGACCTTGGGCTTAACCCCCGCCACTGTTACCACCACAATAAAAGTTTTGTTTGTGGTAAAATAAAAATATCCGTAACATATACCATCTTAATGATTTTAAAGTGTACATTCCCCATATTGTTAAGTATATTCACATTATTGTGAAGCAGGTATCTGGAACTTTTTCATCTCCCAAAACTAAAATTTTACCCATTAAACAGCAGCTTCTCATTTCCCCTCCCCTTGGCCCCTGGTAATGACCCATTTTCTGTTTCTATGAATTGGACAACTTTTGAATCTTCAATAATGGCACCATACATTATTTGTAATTTTGTGATAGGCTTATTTCATTTAGTAAATTCTAAAAGCTCACAGGTGTTGCAACATGTGGCAGGATTTTCTTCCTTTAAGACTGAATAATAGGGGGCTGGAGATTTAGCTCAGCGGCATAAGCGCCTGCCTTGCAAGCAGGCAGTCGTGAGTTCGATCCCCGGTACCGATAAAAAGGAAAAAGACAAAAAAAAAAAAAAAAAAAAAGACTGAATAATATTTCTTTGTGTGTGTACCACATTTCATTTATCTGTTCATCCATGGATAAGCGTTTGTGTTACTTCCTCTAATGATTTGTGAGCAGGGCTGCTATGCGCATGGATGTACAAATGTCTCCTTGAAATGCACCTCTCAGTTCTTTTGAATATGTATGCAAACTAATAGTTATTTATTTATTTATTTTGAGACAAGATCTCACTATATAGTTCATGCTGGCCTTGTACTTGCTATGTAGCCCAGGCTGGCCTCCAACTCATGAAGATCTTCCTGCCTCAGCCTCTTGAATGCTGGAATTACAGGCAGGTACCACCAACCTGACTTTATTTTTAATTTTCTGAGGAATGTCTGTATCTTTTCCTATAATGGGTATACCATCTTATAATTCCTAACAGTGTGCAAAGGTTTCAATTTCTTTGTATCCTCAACACTTATTTTGTCTCTCTGTAACAGTACTCACCCTACATGAGAGTTATGAGATGTATCTTATTGTGGTTTATTTCTCTGGTGATTAGTGATGTTGACTATATTTTCATATACTTGATGGCCTTTTATATGCTATCTTTGTGTAGAATGTATAGTTTTAAAAAAAATTTTAAAAGAAATAATTTCAGATTTACAGAAGTTGCAGAAATAAATAAGGGATATCCATATGCCCTTTATCCAGATTGACCTGCATTCAACATTTCACTTGATTTGTTTTATGATTTTTATGCTGTTCTTTCTTTATTATTTGAGAGTAAGTTTCATACATTGTGAAATCCCAATGTTTCCCTATTTATTTGTTTATTTATTTATTTTATTTTTTTGAGAGAAGGTCTCACTATGCACTTTAGGCTGGCCTTGAACTATGTAGCCCAGATTGGCCTTAAACTCACAGCAGTCCTCCTGTCCCAGCCTCCTGAGTGCTGTGGATTATAGGAGTGAGCCACCATGCCCTGTTTCATTCCCTTTATTGATATCTCCTAAGAATAAAGTCATTTTCTTATAAAACTACCACATAGCTACCAACTTCATGAATTTAACATAGATATGCATACCTTTTCTAATGTACCTTCCATATTCTAGTGTTGTCATTGACCCAGTTCATCTTACTATTTTGTTGTCTTTTTTGAGACAAGGTCTCACTATGTAGTATAAGCTATCCTTCAACATTCCATGTATGTATTCCAGGCTGGCCTTGAAC